GTAGTGCAATCATGTTAAGTGTGACTTTGAGGCTTTTCCCTCTTATTTCATACTTCCCTATATTTCTTCCATTCCTATCACTTCTATTCCTCTACTTTTATCACTTTTGTCTCCTTATAACTTCCTTTTATGTTTTTGTTTTGTTCCTCTCTTCCCTTTTTTGATCCCTCCAACAGTCTTTGTATTGTAGCGGTTGATCAACTCATGAAGGAGTATGTCAATCTCTTTGAATTTGACTTATTGTCTGGGCCTAGATTGCCACAAATCATCCTATTCCAACTGGGGATGTTCATCCAATCAAAGTTTTGATTCATCATCAGTCACCTAAAGAGATCAAGATTTTACATACAAACATCAAGGAAATGTTGGAAAAGGGTGTTAATAAAAAATTGTAGAGTCCTTGGGCATGTGAACCTCATCTTATGACGAAACCTAATAGAAGTATTCATTTTTACATTGACTATCGTCTGTTAAAATCCTTATATGTACCCTCTTCCCTAGACTGCTGATTTCTTGGATTGTTTACAGAGAAGTTATTAGTTCATCAAGTTAGACCTTACTTTTAGGTATTGGCAAGTATTGATGGCTGAAAAAGATATCCTAAGACAGCCTTTTATACACCATTTAGTTTGTATGAGTTTTTGGTGATGTTGTTTGGTTTGAATAATGCTTTAGCAACTTTTCAATGAATGATGGATGACATTCGTTGCGATATGCCAGAGATGGTTATTAACTTCATCAATGCTATCTTAATCCATTCGAAAGGGACAAGAGAGGAACACATCTGTGATGTTTATAAAGTGTTGGATCAACTACGAGAAGTTGGTTTAAAGCTAAAGCGTTTGAAGTGCATGTTTAGGTCCAAAGACAAAACTTATTTTAGGTACTATATTTTTTATCAAGGTTTGTAAGTTAATTTTGACAAACTTATGACTATTCTAAAATTCCCTACTCCGAAGTGTGTGAATAATGTGTAGTGCTTCCTGAGCAAGGTGCAGTATCTTGGTCATTTTGTTGATCATCTTTCTAATTGTACTACACTATTGTGAGCATTACTGAAGTCATTAATATCATCTTTCATCTAATCTGCAAATTATGAGTGGCATTTGCAAATCTCAAAGAGCTATTAACGACTCTTCTGGTTTTAGTGTATCTGACTATACTCGACCTTTCATTTTGTGCATGGATGCTTATGATATTGGTTTTGGATGTGTGTTGATGTAAGAGAGCCTAAGCGTGTTTGATCAGTGCCATCCTATTGCATATATTAACCTTACATTACAACCAACGAAGGTGAACTACTCCACGACAAAGGAGTGTTTAGCAGTAGTTTAGGGTTTCAAGAAACTTCATGCATATTTACATTATTACAAGGCGATCATGCTGTAGTTACTTCATTATTGAAGCAGAGGAACTTGGTTGGCCATATTGCTCGGTGGGCTTTGAAGCTTTAGATATATGATTTTGATGTTGTTCATTGCCTGGAGAGGCTTTATTGCTAATGCTAATTCTTTTCTCGAGCTCCTCTTTTTTTTTTGCTCTCTTCTCATATTTCTGATGAGCCTGTTATTCCAGCATCTATGGATTTTTGGACAAGGATTTTGTGGTTATTGTACTTGACATTTAGTGTTCAAAAGGTGCAGAGAAGGATTTACATTCTTTTGACGAGGTTCGAAAGGTTCAAAAGATTGAGCCATGGATTTGAACACTTCACGATGGGTTTAAGAATCTTGCATTATTTGTTGATGACTTGCCATTTCGACATTTACATTCCCAATATTATGTTGAGTATAATTTTCTTTAATTTGTGGGGATGGATTCTAATAATCATTTACAGCTTGTGGTGCCTTCGATCTTCATTCCACGCTTTCTCCATGCCAACCATGATTCTTTTATTTTAGGTGGGCATATAAGACATTGTCATGCCACCTAAAAGCTACGTAGATCTTTTTATTAGCTGAAGATATAACATGATGTTATCTAGTATATACATAATTGCATTTGGTGCCAAGCTCATAATACTCCCTCTCGTATTGCAGAAGGACAATTGAAGTCAATTAGAATTTCCCATATGACATTTGATTTGATGGGACTTTTTCCATGATCCACTATTTACAATGAGTATGTCATTATTACTTTTAATTACTTGACTCATTGGGTAGAAATTGGTGCTCTTGCTAGTGCATTTGTAATTGCTATTAAATACTTCTTCCTCAATCGATTGGTGTTCCAACATTTCTATTTGGAATAGATTCTTTTGGATAATAGTCTCGCATTTATGGATGAAGTATTTCACATTTTGATGTTTCGGTTGGGGATATGCCACACTTTCACAAGTGTTTATCATTCATAATCAAACAATTTGGTGGAACAGCTCGTTTGGAATTTTAAAGGGATGATTACAAAGTATGTGAACTTTCAGCATTCGGATTGGGATGGTTATTTGCCGTCTCTTTGGTATGCATATGTCACAGGGGTGTAGAGTTCTATTAGCATTTCACCATATAAACTTTTATATAGTCATGATCCAATATTACCAATGGCATTTATCTTTGCGATTGCCACGATTGCTGATGCTAGGTCGTGAGATTAGTATTTGATAAGTATTCTTCTATTTGTTCAAGCAAGTCTGCTGAACACCTGGGCCACGTACAAGTGGGACAACAATAGTGCTACAATTCCCATTATCATCTACCTGTGGAGTACAAAGTGGATGACTTAGTGTTAGTCCATTTCCCCCATCTTAAAGTATATGCTTTATCTAAGATGCTCTTTGCTCAGTGGAAAAGACTATATCAAGTTTTGCAACAAGTTGGATTGCAAGTTTATGAGGTTTAACATGATATCTAGTAGGCCAATCCTCCAAAAATTATGCATGTATAATAGTTGAAATATTTCAACAAAAGGATCAGGAATAACTAACACGACCTATAGATCCACTAATGCTTCTTTTTGATGTTCCTCTAAATCCTGGCCTATCTATGAGAAAAACCCTAACGATCTTCCATCATTTCAAGAAGAGGGGACGATGTGAGGTCTAAGTGTACATGATGCCATATACTAATATTAGCATAGTGGGATTTTTGTAGCTATTGGATTGATTTCAATTTGAACCACTTGCTTTTATATATAGTCTAGGGTTTTTGGGCTAATTGGGATGCACATTTTCTGTATTCTCTTTCCATATTCAATACACTCACAATACCTAAAACTAAGTATATATTTTTAGCATTTAAAAAACTTTAAATTAATTTTATTTCTTATGTTAAATTATCTTAATATTAGAGTGAATTAGTTTAATATTTTTATTTTTCTCAAAAATAAAATATTTTTATATTAAATTAATTTTTTCAAAAATAATTGATGATATTAACAATAAAACTTACATTAAAATTTTATATAGAATATGCAGAAAATTTATTTTTAAAAGAATTAGTTTATGGTTTTGATAGTTTAGATTTATATAAGAAATTACTCATTATAAAAATATTATATAGCTAGTTAAAAAAATTTAAATAGTTATAAATTGATATTTATAATACCTTTTTCTATTAGGGATGCAACTATATTAAAAAGTAGGTAACTCTTTCAATGTAATTTATTTTATTTTGAATTCTAAGAAGTCTGACAATTACTTTATTATTACTAGCTGTCTATAGCAAAACGTTTCCCAAATCTTAGACATCTTTAAGTTATTTAAGTAATTTATTTTAGATCCAGATTGCTTTGCTAATATAATATTTCAAGGTTCATATAGACTATAATGTAGTATAGACATGCGGTAGAAAGTTATGAATAGCATGTGAGTTCACAATAAAAAACACATAATATAGCTATAATCATAGTGATTTTAGTTCCATTTATTTTATCAACCAGCTCAAGATAATTCCCATGGCCTTTATTAAATTTTAGCAATATTTACATTAAAATTGGTAAAAATCCTAGATAGAGAATAATTGTAAAATTATTATAGTGATTCTAACTATGATTCAAGATGCTCATTTGGTAGTATGTTAAAAATAATATAAATGATATGTTATTTATTTACTATTTATGACAAACCATGACTTGGTTGTAATTTAAACTTGTCATTAGCTGAGAAGCTAGGTAAAAATAAAAATACTATTCATTAGAACACTCACTATTAAAAGCCAATGATTCTAAAATTCTAAAGAATAAATTTCCACATGGAATAATATTATATCACTTAGATTGTATATAAAGGTTTTAAGAAAATATGTATTTTAAAATGATGATGATATAAAAAATGAAGAATATGCCAAGATCTAATTGAAGTTTTATATTTATTTTTTAGCAAGAAAGGAGATATCAAAAATATATATAAAGCTTACACTTTCTAATCAATTAATGTCACTTTGTGAGGTCCAAGTGTATAGCTACGATGCTATATACTAAAGCGTAATAGGATTTTGGTAGCTATTAGATTGGTTTCAATCTGGACCACTTGCTCCTATATATAAGCTGATGTGAGGTTCAAGTGTACGGCTATGATGCCATATACTAATATTAGTGTATTAGGATTTTGGTAACTGTTAGATTGATTTCAATCTAGACCACTCGCTCCTGTATATAAGTTAAGGTTTTTCAGCTATACATTTTCTGTATTCTCTTTCCATATTTCAAGCACTCATAACTTTAAATTATGAAAATTTATCATCTTTTTATTGTTAAGATAATTATTATTTTAGCAATATTAACTGGTATGTTGAAAAAATAATTTTTACTTTTAAATTTCAGATGCATTCGATAAAATATTAATTTCAGATGCATTGATCTCAGTACCTATTCCACCCATGGGGCAACAAGCAAAGACAAAGGTGGTAACACAAGCAGTCTTAACAAAATCAATTATGAAAGAACCTAATGATTGTAGTCCAACCTGGTGTTGTGCTTTAAGAATACCTCTTTGTTGTGTTTGTAATTGAAATATTGTAAAGTACTAATCATATCTTTCACTTAAAATTGATTTATGTTTCTGTTAAAGACACTCCCCATAGTAATAACAGTTATGAGTAAGGGCATTAGGGATGTGCAGACTCAACAATGGCAAGCAGCTCATTTATGTACTCACAAAGTCGCAGTGCCAATGCTCCCTTGGGCTCCTCAATTGAACTGGCAGATATGGCATGGCATTTGTTCTAAACCTTGAAACTGGTGATCTAAGAAAGAAGACCTTTGGCCTTGGTGAGGTTAGTCTTTCGTTGGAAGATGACGACACTGAATGCTGTCTTCCCAATGGGAATGTCCGCCATTTTCTGTTTGTTGGCGAGGGCAGCGTTTTGCCTAGTCGCTCTAATCCACGTGGCGTACGATAAAACAAGCGAAGTCGTCGGCTTGAGCCAAGAAACAAAGAAACTTCTACAACCTTTCTTCCTCGAGGAAACGATGGACCGATTTGGCAATGCACAGGGCGACTGACTGTGCGGTAACCATCGGGTTCACTCCCAGCGCCGTGGGGAACACGCTCGTATCCGCCACAAACAATCCCGTGGATTCCCACGCTTCCCCTCGGGGATCCACAGCGGAGCTCGCCGGGTCATTCCCCATCCGGCACGATCCCATCTGGTGAGCGCTCGCGGTCGCCATTGCCGCGTGCGTCAGCTGCTTGGAGTCAATGACCCTCAAGAACTTCTCCAGCGCCTTCTCGTCCGAGCCCTCCACGACCAAGCTATCGCCATCCGGGTGCTGGGTCCCGACCTCCACTGCTCCAGCGGCAATCAGCACCCTGATGGCCTTCTCCGCCCCGGCCTTGAGAGTTTTCTCGTCCTCCGCACTTATCGTGTACGTGACCTTCGGGAGCTGGGAGCTCGAGCTCGAGCTCGGACGGACAGTCCCGCTTCCTTGGTCCCTGGTGATGACGACTACGTGCGCAAGGCGGGAGTAGCGCAGCATTTGCTCCTTGAAGCTCAGTCCCGATCGCCAAGGGAACATGACGCCGAGGCCGCCTGGGTAGAAAGCCGGTACCTCAAGAACAGCGTCAGCGATTCTAGAGACCGCAGACATGATCGGCCCGTCCGAAATTCGACCTGCTGGGAGACCCTCTCCCGAAGGAACGTAGCCCCAGAGAAGTTGACTCGGATGGAGGTGGAGATTGGAGCCGATATGACGATTTACCAGTCCACTCTTTTGTAGCAGAACAGGCGTGTTTAAAGCACCGCACGAAGTCACTGTAGCCTTGGCTCTGATGAAGAGGCTTTTTCCACCGCCAGTTGCGATAACTCCTCCAGCCTTCCACTGCTTTGCAGAGCGCAGCTCCCCTGGCTCAAGAAGAATCCTCTCAGCGTTGCAACCACACAAGATCACGGCACCGGCATCCACAGCGTCCATGAGCCAAGTCTCATGAGTCCCCTGCTTAGTCCTGCTCTTACATCCGAATCCACACAGCCCACACTTGTGCCTTCGGCCTCTGCAATTGGTGGGAATGGTCTCCACGTCGAGTCCAATCTTCTTGCAGCCGCTTCTCAGCACTTTGTTCTGGAAGCTCTCGTGCTCTTCTTCGTTGCCTAGAGTCTCAACCCCGAGTCTTTCACAAACTTTGTCCATTGCGGCCTCGTATTCCTCCGACGTGAAGAGCTTTAGCCCGTGCACTGATGACCACTCCTCTCGGACAGCCTGCGGAGTCCGCAACGAGGCGGCCCAGTTCATGACGGTGCCTCCACCCACTGTCGATCCGGCCATGAGGTTGATGCCGCCATCCGCAGTAGTAAGGAGGCCTCCACCTTCGTACATTGCTCGCATTGACGGTCCTTCCAACAGGGAAAGCTGGTCGCCGACGTAGTACTTGCCTTTCTCGATCACGACCACCTTGTATCCCTTTTGAGAAAGAACCCCGGCACATACGCCTCCGCCGCAGCCAGATCCAATCACGACCACGTCGCAGTCTATAGCTAGCATCGCTTGTCCACTGCCACCATCGCCACCATCACGAACTTCTTCTGAAACTCGAAACTTCGATGACGACAGGTAGTCAACGAGCTCGGCCGCCGAATTTTGGTGCACGTCGAAGACCCGCAGTGGAGGCCGCGGCTCTTCATTGTCGTCGGTCACCTTCGCATCGTCATCGTCTTTAAGGCCGTTCCAGAGAGGATCGGGGACGGGATACCCAATCGCCTTCCAAGAGTCATTACGTCCTCTGGCATCAGCCTGCAGGAAACTGTGTATCAGATTTCTAAAGAAAAAAAGAAAGGAGCTTCTGGAAACTCTGTCAGATCTCTAGAGGCTACCCAGTGGGACACGAGGATGGACCCCAAACTGAGAGGACAGACAATCCCCGCGATCCACAAAAGAATTCCATGCTTACCTTTGTGAAGAACGCGAACATAGCGAAGCACTTGAAGAGCTTGTAGAGAGAATGGAACTGCGCGATAGAACCCCCGGACCAGCTCCGCAGAGTTCGCTCCCGATTGCTCGCTGGCAATCGCGCGAATCGGTGAAGAAATGGAAATTCGGCAGAGAATGCGTGCCTCCCACAAAGAATGAGCGTTCCAATCCGCGAGGAAAGTAGCGACAAGACTCGCAAGACCCCGGCCTGCTGCGCGGAATCGAGGCACTCGAAGATCCAACCCGCGACCTGCTCCCAAAACGCAAGAAATCCGTGAATTCGTGCCCGCGGCAGCGAAATATCGCTCTTACCACCGCTGGAATCCCCGCATCGGACGCCGATGTCGCAAAGAACGCTCGCTGCGCCTCCTCCTCGCATTCCAAAGCTCGCAATGGCAGCGCCGGGAGGAAGGTGTCGCAGATCGCGGCCACGGCCTCCAGCTGCGGCGGATCCAAGCTGTGCGCGAATGGAGCTTGCCCGCCTTGAAGATCCGGATGCATGGCAAAACAATATAGGGTTTAAACTGAGTCAATGCTACACATATATAGTTTGGAGCCCCATCTTATCACTTTAATTAAAGTTTATGCCTTGAGCCAGAGGTAGAGTTTTCCCATAGTTGATAGTGCTGGAACAAGCAAAAAATGGAATGAGATCACGAGATCATCCAAAGTTTTGCAAGAGAATTTTCTCACCAAGTCGCTCTGTGCATGTACTGCTTCCATGAATCGCTTCCTGCTTCGCGACCGCCGCCAGTAGCCTTCTCACCGCCAAAAGCACCGCCAATCTCAGCACCGTTTGTGGGAATGTTTACGTTAACGATCCCACAATCGCTTCCTGTTGGCCTGGACGGATTGATCATAGAAGTTTCAGAAGAGACGAGAAACTTTCAATCGTGTTACCCGATCCACTTGAAGATTGTCTCGTGGCTCTTGGTGAAGATCGAGCTGCTGAGGCCTTGGGGGACCGAATTGTTCATGGCGATTGCCTCGTCCAGAGTCTGGAAGTTTTTGGAAACACACTGTGCTTAACGATGGAGAGATTGGTACCTTAAACTGGAAGACGTAGAGTAGCGGACCAAATAGCTCTTCTTTCACGACGTCTGCATCGTGAGAGATCTCCACAATGCTGGGAGTCACGTAGTTTTCTCCAGGTGACGTTGTGGTACCCACCCCACCGGTTAAGAATTTCCCACCCTGTAAATCATCGGAGGAACAAAGCCCGGATCGCCAAACTTTAAGAAAAAAACAACAAAGTACCTGCGATGCGATTGCTTCTAATCCCTGCTCGAAAGCTTGCTTGGACTGAGAAGAATGCAGTGGTCCAACAAGACTGTCGTGCTTTAACGGGTCTCCAACTTTGAGCTGTCCATATGCCGTGACTAGCTTTTCGATAAAGTCTTTGTAAATTGCTTGATGCACAAACTGAGACAAACACACGACTTGAATGTTAGGAGGATAAAGAAAAAAAAAAAAGAGGAAGAAATAAACGCTCGAACCAAGCGACGACAAGTCGTGCATCTTTGTCCTGCCGTGCCGACGGCAGCAAACAAGACTGACCGAACAGCGAGAGATAGATCCGCGTCATCCATCACGACGATTGCGTTGTTGCCACTCAGTTCCAAAAGACATTTGCCGAATCTGGAGTTCACGTGACACTGGACGATCTGACCAACCTGTCAGTGGAGATTTTTTCACGAGGTAAGCAATCACCTAGAGAAATCGCAAGATTTGGCACCAACCTTGCTGCTCCCCGTGAATGAAACCAAAGGTATCCGGCTGTCTTTTGCAATCGCTTCTCCAATTTCGGCCCCTCCACATATACATGTGAAGATCGCTCCGGGCAAACCGTTGCGCTCTAGCACCCCAGCTATGATTTTCGTCGTTGCGATCGATACGAGAGGTGTTGTTGGAGCTCCTTTCCTTGAGAGAAAACAACAGAGAGAGAAAGGACAAGTTAAATCCAGGTGTTAAGCGAAGAAAGCAAAAAACAACTTACCATACAACGCAGTTGCCACAGACCAAGGCAATGCAAGCATTCCAACCTGAGAACAAAGGCACAACAAATAAAAGTTTAACAAAGAAGAAAACTCATTCATCGTACCAAGTACAGCGCAGGGAAAATTAAAAGCAGTGATGACTCCAACAATACCAAGAGGATTCCAAACCTGGACAAAGAAAAATCACTGAAATCGCGGCCAAAAGTGCAGATCACGATAATCAAACCTCCATCATCATATGGTTTGGTCCTGTAGAGAATAAGAACTAAACATTAGTAGACAAACGCCTTTTAAATCGATAGACTTACGTTCGGATGGTAGAATCAAGCCACTTAGCTGACGGCTCAGTCCCACCGCAAAGTCACACATATCTATCACTTCCTGAAAGACGAAGAGCATCAACAAAAGTACCAGCAAAGCTTTTAAGAAGAGAATGTCGTACTACCTGGACCTCTCCAATTCCCTCCACGAGAATTTTCCCCATCTCAAGCGAAATCAAGCGCCCCAAGTTCTCCAGGTTCTTCCGAAACGCATCGCCAATCTGCCTCACAATCTCTCCTCTCTTTGGAGCAGGGGTCTGGCAAACAATAAAACTTTGGATAAGTATCGGAGAAAACAAAAAAACAGAGAAGCATACCAGCATCCAGCTCTCGCGAGCAGATTCACAGGCCTTCAGACTTCTCTCATAATCCTCCAGCGATCCTTCAATGACGGTTGCGATCGGCTAGAAATCCCCCAAAAAATCGATCCAATGCGAGAAAAACCGATAGTTCTAACCTGATTGCTCGCAGGACTGAGGCTGGACACCGATTTCCCACCCGCGCGCCACTCGCCGCCGCCATAGCAGCCTTGATTCGTCGCCTGGAGGCCGAGATCCTCGAGAAACCGGAGCTCCGGGCGCGATCCAAAATCCATGAGATAAGTGTTTTAATGCCGATTGCGTGCTGGGGCTATAAACCCTAGGGCTTTAGAGGACGCCGCGAAGCGCAATGGCGATGAAGGTGATCGCTCCCGCGAATAAGAAAATCCTTCCCTTGATGTCCAGGGTCCTCCTCAGTAAGATCGAGAGCCACGCCGAGAAAACCAAGGCCGGAATCATACTGCCCACATCACACTACTCCGAGAACGAGGTAAGCTTTTCCTTTCCTTGATCGTTCTTCTTCTCGACTAGTTTCTTCCATAGTTTCTCATCCTTGATCTACTGGGGAGTTCTCATTGTTTCCTAGATCATTTTTCTTCGTCCTTCTCAACTCCATAGTTTCTTGCATAGTTTCTCATCCTTGATCTACTTGGGAGTTTTCCTTGATCTAAGTTTTCGATTCTATCGCAGGTAACAATGGCCAAAGTGGTCGCTGTTGGCCCCGGAGAGGTGACCGAAGGTGGGAAACTCATCCCGGTGTTCGTCAAGGTTGGGGACACTGTTTTAATCGGAGAGCATGGCGGACATAGAGTGAACGATGAGAAGTAAGCTTCCATTTCCATTCTACGTTTCTCTAACGTGATTCCTACAAATCTATTGGAAAATTCCCAGTTTGTACCTCTTCAGGGACGAGGACATTGTCGGAATTATTCACGACTAATGCTGCTAGACGCAAACGAAAACAATCGGATTTTTCCTTCTTCCTAGACGTAGAAACATTAGATGCCAGAAACTAGCTAGAGAGTGTCGCCGTGAGCTCGGTTTGAGAGGTTTTGCTTACTACAGGGCGCGCGGTGGTGCGATCTTTGCCATCCCGAGCCATGCGACGACACCCAAGACGAGCACAGCCCAGCCGAGAACGTCATACTTGAAGTCATTGTTTTGCTTCTTCTTCCTTCCCTGGAGAAGTGGAAGAAAAGAAGAACTTTGTCAGGAGAAACTATCTCGAAACTATATCTAGAAGATCACCTTTGCCGAGAGATTGGCGCCGCTGCCACTGCCGCTTCCACCGATCCCGAGCTGCTGGCTCAGGACCTGTCTTTGAAGCTCCACATAAACATTTGGTGCCTGGCAAGCGAAGGAAAAGAAGTAAGTCCGCGGAGCTTCGAGTTAGACAAACCTTTGCAGACATTTCCAGCGATTTCATGTAGAGCTCACTCTTCGGCTCCTGCAAGGACACGCTCTAGAACTCGAAAACACGGATTTCTTTTTCTTCTTTACCTCGTCCAAGGCTTTCTTGAAGCAATCGCTGGCTTTCTTGAAGTACTCGTTGGCCTTGCCACTGTCTGGGAGCAAGAAACCGTGGGCGGTGTGCGAGTTTCCCAGGCACCAAAGCGTCTCGTGCTTTTTGGGATTGATCGCGAGGGCCTCCCGGAGCTTGGACTCGGATTCTAAAAGCAAAGTGTAAGTGGAAACAAGCACGGATTCCGACAGCGATCCATACCTTCGATCATGTTTAGCTGATCCTGCCCTTGCCGGAAATGCGCTAGCTCCAGCAAAGCCCCGCCCCATTGCGTCAGATTCTGGAGAGAAGAAAACGAAAGGATGAACGAGTGGGGAAGGGAAGAACTTCGCTACTCACATCGGCATCCTCCGGGCAGCGCGCGTAATTGGCAGCGGCTTTCTCCCTCGTCGCCTCGAAGAAAATGAGGCGCTCCATGTCCTCGCGCGAGTCCATAGCTCCCGCAGCTCAGCTACAAACCCTAATAAAGTGAGCCCAAAACTTTTTAGGTCAAAAAACAGGGTAGCAAACCTCGAACATGGTAGACGCCTATCCTCCGCGGCGCTGAAGAGATGAAGAAGAAGAAACCATCAAAGACTTGGCCTTTTTGCAGCCACAGAGGTCGACACGTGGGCGGAGGATTGATGGTTCGGGGCCAGCACCTTTTATATTGTGGGAATTTGATCGTTGGTATAAACCAGGAAGAAATCCACCTCTTGTTCAGTATCCATGGTTGTGGGAAAAATCATGGCTGGTAGTCATGGTTTCAGTAACAATACGTGTATTTTAGGGCTCACTTGCAGGACATCAAGCGCTTTCGGATCAGCGGATTTGGCAGTGGAGGCCACCAAGAGACAGCACTTGGGAGGCTATAAAGAGAGGCACGTGGCTCCTACACCTTCATTCTCAGGGACTTCATCTACTAAAGGACCCTGCCATCAAGTTATATGTGACATTAGCATTGCTTAATTTGTAGTGCTGTGCAATGAGGAAGAAGGAGAGTGGATTCTAGGCAAGAAATTGGGCCATCAGGGAGGTTTTAAAATTCCCAACTTGGAGCGCAGTCATGCCGCATGCAAGGCTGTTCAATTTTTTTCTCTTTAATTTAGAAAAAAGATAAATTGTCTATAAAGTGGAACAAAAAAGTCCAGTGACTAGTGAGAAAAAGCCACAAGAGCATGGCAAAGTTGACAATCACATGGCCTTTAAAGCCTCTTCTTTCTTGGTTTGCAATTCTGCATATACACTTTAACCTTATATGACTAATTTCCACCTCTTTGCTTTATGTCGTTGTAAATGGACTTCGCGTTAAAGCCCACCAAGCCACATGCAAGGCAAAGTTGGATCAAGTTGGGGGATTGTGGGTACATCGATGGAACTAACTTGCTCTTTCAGCTCAAATGTTCACTATCTTATTTTATTACATATAAGTCTCCATCCCTTGCTCCATAGAAAGATGTTGTGTGGGATTTACACCAACTGGGAGAGAAGTCACAAATATTCATTCATTCATGTTTACAAGGTCTCACAGCACATGAGACTGATGGATTCAAATATGCCACAGTGACAATTGCCGTAGTTGTTTGTCATCCAATCTCGTTGGCATCTATGTCGTCCATCTCGTCCATTGTGGCCGTTTTTGTGGTTGTGGCTGACCTTTGTCCATGTGCTTCAGTTGGCATGCCATGTTTTGTTGTGGATTAATATGAGCACCGAAGTGCCAGCATTTCCTCGTCCCCCTCTGCTGAGCTCCACCTCCCTCAGAAATAGGCAGAGTTGGTCACCCACTGTTTGCCTTCAAGGATGATATGGAGATCAGCCCCATGTCAGAGCTTAGCATACGTGGCACAGTCATTGGTCATGTGTTCGACATCCTGAACTCGCTCAAAGCAGGTTCAGCCACATGGGATTTGTGGTCTCAGCTGTTGGCCTAGCTCCACTATAAGTCTGTGACGTCCCATTCCGTAGCTAGCAAGTAGACTCTGGTTCCTAGGTGTGAGATCATCATATGCCTCGAATCCAAATTGCCTCCAGGTTGACTGTATCAATGTAAACGTCAAATATGCTGTTGTGTATGGTTCGCAAGGAACACCATTGCTGCAAGGTTTGCCACATCTAGAACTCTAATTGGTCTATCAGTTTAGTGTGTAGTGTTTCAAGATCGTGCCCGAGCTTTTATCCATGTCTTCAGCTTGCTTCACCACCCTTTCCCTAGAGTCTTGGCCATCTCCTAGGACTCTTGTATTGTTGCATCTGCTAGCTTTTAGCGGTAGAGGAAGTAAGCACTTTTAACATATACAATGCAGCATCACCATGCTAGGATCTCTAAAGGGAGAAGACTAGATTCAAGAATGAGAATTGGGTCTGTTGTCCTGTATGCACCAAATTTTGCAGCCAAGAAGGGTTCTAGTTTGTCTCACTTGAGGTGCTAAGGCTAAAGCCCCAACATTCAACACTATACAGTATGTCTACTTTACCCCCCACCTGTGGACCTTTGCTCAAGTCAGATGGAACATCACACATGTTTGTGAGACTGCTGTTATTCTCTACTCAACTCTGGTCTTCCATGGGGACTTGTGGTCTACTAGCCAAGGCATTTGTATGCTATCATGTGTTCTACTGGCTCCTCTTTATATGTGAGCACACACAGCCCAAATACCATCACCTTCATTTTTGCCATATTTACTGTGAGCCCAGTTTCATCGCAGAATGCAAGGAGTCAAACTGGCATTGTAAATCTCTTTGGCTAATGGCCAAAAGTAGAAGATCATTGGCATATAAAAGTATATGAAGGATCATCCTTGCAAGTTGGGGAGGATGCTTGACTTGCTAGCACTACTTCAAGCCCATCAATGAATGGTGTAAATTGTGACACTGGAGTTAGATGGGGATGCCCGCTCTCCCCCACACTATTTGGCTTGGAGCCATCTTCTTACACATTCTTGTAGAGTCATCTGTATCAGCTCAAGTGGAATGTTGAGCTTATGCTGAAAGAGCTTGGCTTGTGACCCTGTCAAATGCCTTGACAATATCCACTTGCATAGATTGAGACAGTTTGATTATAGTATAGCTGGGTGACTAGATGGTCTGTGCAAGAGTAGTGAGGCCTGAATCCCAAGTGATGCCCCATGGAGCAGCTTGCAAATCGACGTTCTGGCAAACATGTCCCTTGTCTTTACAACCATTCGTCTCCATCCATGTCACAAGGCGTTTCTCAGCCACCTTTTGGTGAAGATTATCAACATCATGATGGTGCAATAATTAAATGGGATTGCTGGGTCTCCTACTTTATATATTGGGACGACTCTGTTAATGTTCCATATGGTAGGGGTGCTTCATTATCTCATTGAAGAGTTGACACAAGATGTGGGCCAACCAATTGGCATCCAGCATTTGCAAAAGCTTAGTTATGAATCTACATACATTGGCTGTTTTATTCTGGTGGTGTGCTCCCGAGCTCATACATTTGGCATATGTGCTAAATCCAAACTTCTACGTTCTTGATGAATACTAGTTGGTACATGGTGTGGAAGATCCTGTAAGCCTTTGATGGCATGCGCTTCACCTTGTGAGTCTGTCAGGCATTGACTTGTTTGGCGTGGTGCCCTTGCCCATACTAGCTTTGGAGTTTCCATTGTAGTTCATATGCCACTAGGTCACCTTCACTGTTATTGGCAATCTACTAGGCTTTCACTGGCAGTCCTTGATGTTGTTCTGGTTTCTAGAAACCCTGCTAAAGGACCATGACAAGCAGATCTATTGTGCCACCTAGTGGAGTCTTTTGATGTTGCTGATTCCAAAGCTCCATTGTAGTGCGACTGCATCCAGAGGTTTCAAGTGGTAAATAACTAATGCCTTCCTTAGCCAGCCAATTTGAGCTGGTCTCCATCTTTGGCTCTATAGTGAAGAGGCCAAAGGACGATGATTAGATATATCTAAGAAGTCTAACAGTGGAAAATGAGAGACATTTTTAGTTGCTATGGTGTCTTCTATGAAATAATCAATAATGCTGCATCCAACATAGAATTGTCCTAGGTGATGTTGCCAAATTGGGGAGATGGCTGTGAAACCTCTAGTCCATAGGAGTAGTGATGTGCCATTCAATATTTGCAAGCATGTTGACTGGCAAAGGTGGAGGAGTTTGTATCCACTCCTAGTGTCAAACTTGCCTTGACTAATTTATATCCATCTCACCTTGTCCTCATTATCTCAATCCTTTTCATTTAATTATTGTAAGTTATTAAATTTTCCATTTTACTTTAGTCACTTAATCACATTTTTAAACACTTGGACACCAAATGTAACTTTCAAGCCACATTATCTCTGCACTTAGTCCAAGTGCTCCACGTGTCTGAGTTCTATTGCAAACACTTAAAAGTACTTAACATACCAACATATTACACCAAAGTCATATCCATTTGCATTTATTCTATTGATAATCTAAAACCATCTGTGCCACAAATCTACCTCTCCAAGGTCAAATCATCTAGTTTATGAGTGGTCATCCTATAACCACTTCTTAGCATCTTTAAAATATTCCAAGATATAAAGAAATATTGTCTTTTAATATCCCTTTTTCAATCCCCACAAAGTCCCTCTCTAATCATAGTAATGCTTTCCAATATTACCACTAGTTTAAGGCTTGAAAGTTTATCTACTAAGTCTCAATAACCTTTTGGACTTCTTAACCATACCCTTAATTACTAAGCAAGAGGATCATTCTTCTAATCAAAGACTTTGGAATAAACACTACAGCCTAATGCAAGCCATATAGGTACTCTCCCCACATTTCACCACTAATGTGCTCTAACCATGTAATTAGAGCAATATTTTGATGAACTATGCAAAATATCAAAGTATATAGTGCCACTCACATTTAAATTGGGAGCATTGACCATCCAATCTCCTAAAGGAGCTAGAACTAACTCTTGAATACTTCATTAAATCATTTGATTTATCCATTTATATTCACTCTAGCCTTAAACTTTTTAGTGTTCATATCATCACTTATCACATGGGTATAACATTCTTGGTCACATTAATTCCCTCCTTTTATTATCCTATAAACCCCCTAATGATTGCTTTGGGCTTTCACCCTTCAGACTCAGTCTTAGTCTTAGTTTTGAACTTAGTCTCATATTTGGTTTTGGATTTGGTTTGGGACTTGCTTTTGAACTTAATCTCGGACTCAATCTTGAGAATTGTCACATATTAATCATTCTTTTATCCATTTTTAAAGATTTTCTTATTGTTGTCAGAAATCCCTCATATTCTTGACTCTCGCCGGATTCCTGACACGCAGACCATATTCCTAACTCTCAAGACACTTCTCTATTCCTGACTCTCTAATTTCCCATATGATTCCTAAGTCTCGAACCACATTCTTGATGATGACATGGCATCTCCTCAACCTCAGCTATATTTAGGCCATCCTTGATCCAAGAGTGGTAGGGCTTCATCAACCTATAGTATATATAGGTTAGCCTTGTTCCATTTCTCCACAATCTGAATC